CCCACGGAAGAGGAGTGGTGGAAGCAGGCCTTCCTGCTTCGTTCCCGATCTTTCAGTCTTCCACTGCGAAGTCTGAAGTCAGCTGTGGCGGCTTCAGAGATGTCCTTTGCCAAAGGCTGAGGGGGAGGCTGAGGATGCTGTCTTCCTGGTGGCTTTTCTTTCGAAGCCATCAAGGACTGCTGGATTTCATCAAATGCCTTGTCTACACCTATGAGATGCCATCCGGCTACTTCCTCCTTTGTCGTATTAATATATTGTAATACACCGTTGTTGTTGTTGTGTGTGTGTTTTATGTTGCCCAAGCTTTGCATTACTGGGATAAATTTCACCTGGTCTTGATGTGTAGCTCTCCTTATCAACTGCCAGATCCGATTTGCTAGTGCTTTGTTCAGAGCGTTTACATCTAATTTCATGAGGGATATTGGTTTCTAGCTCCCTTTCTTGCAATGTCTTTGGTTTTGCGATCAGGGTAATCCTGGCCTCAAAGAAAAGCATGCCCTCATTTTAGAAGGGTTTATGAAGGATTTGTGTTCATTCTTTCAAAAAGATTTTATTTATTTGTGTGAAAGAGTGACAGCAAAAGATGTGTGTGAGAGAGAGAGAGAGAGAGAGAGATCTGTCATTCACTGGTTCACATCTTCACATAGTTGTATAATACACAGGGCTGGGCTAGGCCTAGGCCAGGAGCCAGGAACTCCATCCTGGTCTCCCACATGAGTGGCAGGGGCCCAGGTACTTGTGCCATCATTCACTGCCCTCCCAGGCACAGCAGCAGGAAGCTGGATTGTAAATACAACAGCAGGGACTTGAACCAGCACTCTGATAGGGACGCCAGTGCTGCAAGCAGCAGCTGAACCCACTACAACACAATGACGGCCCAACTAGGGGTTAACTCTTTGGTAGAATTCAGTGAAGCCACCTGGTCCTGGGCTTTTATTTTTGGGAAGTGTTTTTGATTATTAATCCAGTCTCTTTATTTCCTGTAGGTTTATTCAGGTTTTCTATTTCTTCTTGAGTCAGCTTTGGTAATTTGTGTCTTCCTAAGAATTTTTCCATTTTATCTAGATCTAGTTTGTTGGCATCCAATTATTCATAAGACTCTTATAATTCTTTTCATTTCTGTAAGATCAGTAGTAACATCCTGATTTTATTAATATGAATCTTTTCATTCCTTTTTTCCCCCTTCCCAAGCCTAGATAAAGATTTGTCAGTTTTGTTGATCCTTTCAAACAACTAACTTTAATTTCATTGATTTTTCTCTATTGTTTTTCTGTTTCTGAACTATTTTTTACAATTTCCTGGGGATTTATAATTCTTTCCAAATAAAAAGGTTAAAAAAAAAAGAAATTGCATGAGTATTGCACTCTTTTCTGTGCTGCGGATAGAGTACAATTAGGACAAATCAAAGCCTATGCCCTCAATGGAAGAGTCAGACAGTAAACATGTGAACAACACAGGTCTCACAGTGAGGGGTGCTCTGAAGAAAGTGACAAATGACAATGTGACATTGGCTATAGGGGGAGGGGTCAGGACTCTTCCAAAGTTGCTAGGTCAGGGAAGGTCTTGCTGAGAAAGTGATATTTGGGGCTGAGATCTGAGTGTCGAGAAGCCACTTGGAAATCCGGAGGGAAGAAATTCTGGAGAGGTGGTAATGAACTTGGCAGCTCAGAGGAGCAGAAGGCAGGCCTGTGGCTGTGGGAGCCCCACATGCAAGGGGTGTGTTTGCCAAGTAGGGGGTGGAGGTCAGAGGAGGGCGGAGAGGAAGGAGGGGCCTGCTCACAGGAGAGGGACCTGGGTTTTATTCCTCAGTGCAATGGGAAGTGACGGCGGGGCTTCTAGGTAGGGGAGGGGCACAATCGCCTTGGACACAGAGTGGAAAACGCAGTGGGCGGCACGAGAACAGAAGAAAGTAAGAAATGGAGGCTGTTTCATAATCCACATGTGACTGAAGCCAAGTCGGCAGCAGAGACAGAGAGAAGGGACCGGATTCAGGCTCCATGGGGGGTGGGGGGCAAGAGCAATAGGATGTGGCGGCCTGCAGTAAGGTGGTGGGGACGGTGTCCTGTCCACACTGTATCCCGGGACAGAAAGGTGTGTGGCACAGACTAACTTTTGATTTGGAGCTAATCACAGGCTCTCAGGGAACCGCTGATGGTGCAGACTCCAAGGGGTGGGCTCGGGCAGCAGAGTGCTTGGTGAGCAGATATGCCTGGAGGAGGAAGACACCTGTGGGTGGGGAGCAGTGGGGCTCCAGCTCAGGTTTCAGGTCTCTGAAGGCCAAGCTGACATTCATGGTGGGGGCTCTGAGGAGCAGGCAGGGCTGGGCTTAAAATCAGGGGTCACCTTGAGGCCGTAGGCCAGGGCGTGGCCAGGGAGAGAAAAGGGGGTGGGCATAGATGGAGGAAAGTCCGGTGGAGCCCCCGGTGCCTCCACTGAAGGCCCTGCTCTTCTGAACCCAGCCTCCACTCCCAGGGACCTCAGCTCAGCTGTCAGCTGGGCCCCAGCCACTGCTCTAAGGCTAGGGGAAGCCATGGGACTTGGGTTTCTCCGGGATAGAATGGGGAGTCTCATCGCAGGGGGAGGGCTGAATGAGGAGGTGTGCCAGGCCCTGGCCGGCACACACAGTGGACCTGATGGCTCTGATGGGTTCTGTGTCCTGGGAGTCCAGGCCTGGCATGCAGGACAGCCTTCCAGGAGGCAGGGGGCACCCAACCCGGCCCACCCCCTGGCAGGACCTGGGAGACACAGCTGCTTATGTCCCAACCCCAGGACAGAAAACTAAAAACAGAAACCACAGATCCCCAAACACCCAAACCACAGGCCACAGTCCTCACTGCCACCCCACAGCAAGCTCCAGTGCCTGACTGTTGCCCTCTCTTATGTACTGGGGATAGAGTACAATCAGGACAAATCAAAGCCCACAGACTCCAATCCGCAGGCACAGCAGAGCTGTGCAGGCCACGGCATCCGCGCAGCCGTGACCCCACAGGGCTTGTTTCTCTCGGAGGTGGGGCTCCCAGGGCTGCTCACCTGGAAAGGGGCTCAGACCCGCCTGGCCCAAGCCTGGGCACAGCTGGTTCCCAGCTGTCTCGCATCTCTGCTGCCTTTCCTGTCCTAACAATCTGGAATTTCTTCAAGGAGGATGCCTCCCTACCCTCCTGGGGTGCCGGTGGCCCCAGCATCTGGGTACCCTCTCAGAGCCAGGGGGAGCATGAGTGTTCCTCTCTGGGGACTGCACATCCCCAGCAGGGCAAAAGAACGACAAACCACCCAACCAATCAACAGACTGACGGATTGATGGACAGACTGACCAGCCATCACCCTAACCCAAAAGGCAAGCTCTGTTCCCTCCCCCTGCAAAGAAGACCAGACCCCAGGATACTACTACAACTCCACCATGACCGTGGGGCCTTCTGGACTGGCTGCAGTGGTGAGCCCAGCAAAGACTTGAAACACCTTCTCTTCTTTCTTTCTCTCCTCTCCTTCCTTCTCTTTCTCTGTCTGTCTTTTTAAGATGTATATACTTAGTTGAGAGGCAGAGTTATAGACAGAGACAGAGAGAGGGAGAGAGAGAGACAGAAAGGTCTTCCACTCGCTGGTTCACTCCCCAACTAGTCGCAATGGCCAGAGCTGGGCTGATCCAAAGCCAGAAGCCAGGAGCTTCTTCCGGGTCTCCCATGTGGGTGTTGGGGCCCAAACACTTGGGCCATCTTTTGCTGTTTTCTCAGTTGCATTAGCAGGGAGCTGGATCGGAAGTGGAGCAGCTGAGATGAACCAGTGCCCATATGGGATGCGGGCACTGCCAAGTGGAGGCTTCACCTATTACCCCACAGTGCCGGCCCCTCTCGCTTCTTTATTTTTTAAAAATGCACTAAAGTGATCCAGGTTTGAGTTTTGCTGGTGATGGTCTAAGAGCTGCGACAGGTTATCTGCCCTCACCTCTCATCTGTCCACAGGGTCAAGACCAGAACGCGGCTAGCTACAGCTGGGGGTTTTAAAGCCTTGTTTCCTCGTTTCCTCTTTGAAATGGGGTTAGTGACGTCTACTCCTTGGTGCTGTCACTCTTGGTGAACAGCAAGATCTGGTATCTGGAGCCCAGAGGAGACCCAAGCACCACGCAAAACTCCTGCTGCTCACACGGGAGCCTGTGTGTTACGTTGAGGTAAGAATCTTTTTTTTTTTTTTTTTTTTGGTGCCCATTTTACAGATGAGGGAACTACAGTAGAAGTTAGGAGAGTGGCTTGGGGGCCCTGAAGTTGCAGGTCATCAGCTTTGGGCGCGGGTCTTTGGTCTTCTCGAGACTACGCAGTTAGGTCAAAGTTGGATTATAGCTCCGAAGACACCCTTTGCACCCTTCTTTGGAAGAGATAGCACATGGACAGGGCAGGGAATTTAAACGGCACAAGAGAGCACCTGAGGAACGCTCTTCCTCTTGCGCTGGGCCCTGGCCTGCAGGCAGCCCTGTCTCAGTCCCACTCCCCCCTGAAGGTAACTGTGAATGAACCAAAGGGGTGCATGGTGGAGACCCTGTGGCTGGTCGCTTTGTCTTGGTCTGACGTGCAAGTGGCAGGAAGAGAAAATGCCAAGGCTGTGAAAACCTGCCAGATAATTTCAAGGAAGGGAGACATTCGGTGCTGGTAGGGGGAAGCAGGACCCCGAGAGGGTGTGGCTGCAGGACGGCCGTGAAGGGCGCTCCACTAACTTCCACTGTGTGCCCCCCTCAAGTCCACACCCTTCGCCAAGCCTGAGTTTCTTCTGCTACAAAATGAGGGTGTGGGTCTTAGTGACCCCAGGGGCCCTGTGTTTGCTGGTGGCCAGAGTGGGTGAACTGGCTCTTCCAGGAGAACCCCACAAACCAGGGCTCAGGGAGGGGAGGCTGGGAGGCGCCCCCACTGCCCTAACCCATGGGACAGGTCCCCGCCCCGCAACTGCGCCCCTTAACTCGGACTTCACATGGATGCACTTAGCAAGGAAGGGCCCCCTGCGTGCACCCTACTTACAGCTAGGTTCCTGTTGACCAGGCGGCCCAGCTCGCCCGGCGAGTCGGCGTGCCGGATGTCCACGTCGTGAGGCGACACGTACAGCTTGCTGTTGTTCAGGTCAAAGAACTCGACCTCCGTGAGGCCCACCCACCGTGGGCTGCCCCAGTTGGACAGGATCTCCATGGTCACGTACACAGCATCTCTGACTTCCGCCACTCTCCCTCTGCGCACGTCCTTAAAGGGAAGGAAAACAGACAAGGAAGATGAAAATCACGGCCGGCTTGGCTTGCGCTGCCCACGGCGGGCTGGACGGCCTCTGGCCAGTTCGGCTAACCACACGGGGCCTCAGTTTCCCCAGTTGTACCGGAAGGGGAAGGGCAGCGCCCACTCCCTGTGGTTATTAGGAAGAGCAAATGAACCTGTATTTGTACAGCATTTAACACACGGTTACTGTGCACCCTGGCGCTTAGCACGTCTTCTGTTTACGAGTTTGCAAATACAGATGTTTGCAAAGCATCAGGTTCTGCCCAGCCAATGCAACAAAGTGCACTTCTCTTCCCCTCACTGCCCAGGGGTCATGTCCCCAGCCAAGCCAGAACTGCTGCCAAATTAGGTGGAGTTATGGGCCGAATTGTGTGCCCCCAAATTCATCCGTAGAAGTATCAACCCCCCAAATCTCAGCAGGTGACTTTATCTGGAGACGATGCCTTTAAAGAGATTAAATAAAATGAGGCCCTAAGGGTGGGTGCTGATCCAATCTGACCGGAGTCCTTTTAAGATAAGGCATTTGGGCCCACGGGGACACATCATGGACACACCATGGGCACACACAGAAAGAACATGTTAGGGTAGTATGTCTGGCCTAGCAGTTAAGATGCCACCTGGGATGCTTCATTTTAGAATTCCTGAGTCCAAGTGCTGGTTCTGCCTCCTAGTCCAGCTTCCTGTTTAATTTATTTGAAAGACAGAGTTACAGAGAGAGGTAAAGCCTGAGAGAGAGAGAGAGTTCTTTTATTCTGCTGGTTCACTCCCCAAATGACCACAATGGCCAGGGCTGAGCTGATATGGAGCCAGGAGCTTTTTCTGGGTCTCCCATGCAGGTGCAGGGGTCTAAGGACTTGGGCCATCTTCTACTGCTTTTCCAGGCCAGAGCAGAGAGCTGGATTGGAAGAGGAGCAGCCGGGACTCGAACCAGCGTCCATATGGGATGCTGGCACTGCAGGCGAGGGCTTTAACCCGCTGTGCCACAGCGCCAGCCCCCGAGCTTCCTGTTAATGTGCAGCCTTAGAGGCAGCAGGAGATGGCTCAAGCAGTTGGGTTCCTGCTGCCCATGTGAGACACCCAGACTGAGTTCCTGGGTTCCAGTTCTGGCCTGGTCCAACCTGAGCCATTGTGGGCATCTGGAGGGGGAAACCAGCAGATGGCGGGTTTTTCGGTCGCTCTGTCTCTCAGCTAAATAACAATGAAACAAATGATCAGAATGACCATTTGAGGATGGAGCGAGGATGCGGCCATCTACAAACCAAGGAGAGCGGCCTCAGGAGAAACCAATCCTGGAGGAAACAGATGTGTGGGGTGACAGCAGCCCCAGCAAAGGAACACAGGAGGGAACAAGGGCCCCGCCGCTCTGCTCAGACGGGCCACTGTACCACTTCAGCCTGGCCAGGGAGGATAGGATGACGTCACCTCCACGAGACTCTCATTAAGCACATTCAGCAAGGTATGAGCCCTGGCCCTGCCTGCACACACTTAAGTGCCCTTTTAATTTTTTTTTCCCCATTTCTCTCCTTCACTGATTTTAATGCCCACCGCCTTCCCAGGCAGGCTGTGTGGCCTGAGAATACGCAAATGGCAACCATGCAGAATGGCTTTCTGGAGGCCTCCGGGGCCCCAGCACAGCACTGGTCGCCACGGATCAGTCGCTCGTACAATGGCGCGCGCCCTGTGTGCACCTGCCCTGCTAATTAGCCCTGGGAATCTGCAATGGCTCTGTGAGCAGGGAGCCGAGCAAACGCACAGCAACTGTTCCTCACTTTTTTTTTTTTTTTTTAATTAACAGCCAGTGAGACGTGCTATCGCTCAGCGTGTTTGCACGAGCCTTGAGTGCCAGGCCACGGGGATGGGGAGGCGGCAGAGAGGTCAGCCCATTGCTCCCCGGAGGAACTGGGGGCCTGTTTGGATTAACTTGGCCGCTGGCAGAATCCACAGTTATCTTCTCCTCGTCACCTTTCTGCGGCTTCACGGGGCCCTCGCCAGGTGCTCCGCCACCCTGGGCCTGCTGAAAGACTTACACCAGCCTGGCTGACTCGGGGCGGGGGAGGCGGGGCAGGTTAAGAGCTCCTGCTTGTGGGGCACACTCCAGCGCCCAGTGGGCAGCCTGGGAGGCGTGAAGAAGCGGCAGGGCTGTTCACCTTGCTCGGTGGGGCTGCAGAAGGGCCACACGGCAGGAGAGGGCTGCCGGGGCTGCTGCCCGGCTCCACGTCGCGCATGCCAACTCCTGAGCTGAGCTCTGTGAGGGCCGCGGGCCCGTTCACCCAGGGGCGTCATGACTTGCCGCAGGCCCGCCACCTGCTTTCTGTATTGCCCGTCGGAGGCCTCTCCTAGGAGTCTGGAGGCAATGCGGGCTGGGAAGCTCCCAGCATCCACTGTCCCCTCTCTCCCTAAGACCGCATGGTTGCCCTGCGGCAAAGTCACTCCTCTCTTCTCAGCCATGAGACACAGGAGGACCGAGCTCTTCCCACCCCAAGGAGGGCACCCTGTGTGCACTCCTGGGCCAGCAGGAGGGCCCGGCTCGGTGACATCCTGGCCTGTCCTAATCTCTGCTTTGTGTGGGTGTGGGTGTGGGTGTGTGTGTGGGGAGCGGTCTTCTCTCCTGACAGTGGAGTCCGAGAGTCTCCAGGCACGAACTGGGAGCTCCACCCACTATCAGGCACCTGGGCAGAGAGCACTGGGGAATGGAGCCTCGGGGTGCAGCTGACGCTGCGGGGACCCAGCAGAGAGACAGAGTGTGAGCTGCCAGATCCAGCCCCACCCAGTCCCCTCCGTGGAACTGGTGGTGGCGCGTGTTGGTAATCTTTCTCCTCTGTTGCCTAAGTCAGTTTGCCCTGCGTTTTCTGACGTCTCCCACAATGCAAAGGGATGTGAATGATCCAAGCTCTTTCTCATGTGGCTGAAGCTGCACTACGCTTAGAATCCCTACAGCTAAGCAAGCAACCATTCCAGGCAGGGCGAGCAAGGCGCCGACTGCTGCAGATGGCAAACTTTCAGATGCTGGTACCAGCATCTGGTACCCCGCCCTGAGCCAGGCCTTTCCTGGGTCATCCTCACAGGGTCCTGGGGGGAGGGTGGGTGGATTATTTCTCCTTTGTGACAGCCACCCAAGGTCACATGATCTCCATGTGATGGCACCAGATTAAAGCCAGGACGAGGGACAGGCAGCACGTGCAGCGGTTGGGACACCTGCAGCTCATACAGGAGCGCCTGGGTTCAAGTCCTGGCTCGGCTTCTGATCCCAGCTTCCTGCTAGTGCTCACCTGGGGAGGCAGCAGGCGATGGCTCGAGTATCTGCGTCTGTGCCACCCAGACTGAAGTCCTAGCTCCTGGCTTTGGTCTGGTTCAACACTGGCTGGTGTGAGCATTTGGAGCATTCGTGAGCATAACCAACAATCGTTCTCTCCCTCTGTCTCTGCCTTTCAAATAGAATGAATGAATAAAAATAATAATAAAAAAAAACATATGTGTTGGCACTGTAGCACAGCAGGTTAAGCCACTGCTTGCGATGCCGGCTAGAGTCCCGGCTGCTCTGCTTCTGATCCAGCTTTCTGCGAGTGCACCAGGAAAAGCAATCAGCAGAAGGTGGCTCAAGTCCTTGGGCCTCTGCCTTCTATGGGGGAGCCCAGGATGGAGTTCCTGGCTCTTGGCTTTGGCTTTGGCCTTGGCCTATCCCTGGCTGTTTCTGCCACTTGGGGAGTGAGCCAGCTGATGGAGGATCTCTCTGTCACTCTGCCTTCCAAATAAATCAGTGTTCAAAAATAAGAAAGCTCCTGGTCATGTAGCGCTGCTGCCTTTTGTAGTTTGTGCCCAGCCCCATCAATACTCAACACCTGAAGCTGGCGCTCTGACACAGTGGGCTAAGCTTCTGCCTGTGGCACCGGCATCCCATATGGGCGCTGGTTCACGTCCCGGCTGCTCTCCACTTCTGATCCAGCTCTCTGCGATGGCCTGGGAAAGCCCCTGAACTTGGAATAAGCTGTAGGCTCCTGACTTCAGATTGACGCAGCTCTAGCCGTGGGGCCATTTGGGGAGTGAACCAGTGGATGGAAGACCTCTCTCTCTGTCTCTCTCTTTCTATAAGTACCTTTCAAATAAATAACTAAAATCTTGGAAAAACAAAACAAAATCATTCAACAGCTGAGTCTTTGCAAGGCCGACCCAATCATGTTGGCCTCGAGGAAGACCAACGTCGCCTTGTGCAGTGGACCTTATACCCTTGGGAGTTTTATGTGCGGCGTCTCCGCGAGGACTGTCTCCAGCCATTCGCACTCCTGGGTCATGCTGACATCGCACACTTCCCCGCCTAGGTCCCTTATCATGAGACATTTAGGTTACCTCTTTCCATCCCGCCCCTCATTTTCGCCTACTTCCCCGCAGCTGAGTGATGTCCTCCGGGTAAGAAAGGGGGTGGCCGGGCAGGAGCCGTAGGCATTTCTGGGGCTCTGCCTGCCTGCTCCTGGCCTTTCAAGAGCCCCTCCTGTGTTCGCTCGGCCGTCAGCAAGGTGCGGCGGCCTCGGCTTGGCTGTATCCTTGCCAGCACTCGGGGTCACCGTCAGAAGTCCTCTGTCAACTCTCACACCAAATTGGGATGCTGGGGTTGTTTTACTTTGCATTTCTTGATGGCAAGCGGGGCGGGGGCCTTTCCCTATGGGCTTCAGGTTCTATTTCTCTCCAGAAGTTTCTGGCCCCCATCTTTCTTTCCCTGTTCTCTATTGCTGCATCAGGTATGTGTCTGTCTGTGTGCTGGGGAGGAGCGGAGATGCAGACCAGGGCAGAAGTGAGCGTTCAGAGGCTGCTTCCACTCGCGGCTTCCAGGCAGGACCTGCAGCCCATCTAGAAACCCCCGCTAAGTCAAGGCCCTCACCTCAGGGTCCGGTGCGCGCTCCTGGGGTGGTGAAACAACCTCGCCGAGATGGGCAGGGTGGCTTTCCATGGCATGCAGGACTTCCAGAAGCTTCTGCTGCTGTCTGAAATGGGATTTCGTGTTAGCAACCAGGCAGTAACAGATGATAAACAAAAGGCAGCCTTCCCATCAAGGGCCCCCCTGCTGACTTTCCTACCTCGGGGAGAAGTCACAATGTGGGAAGCAAGGCTGCACCCTGCCCGTGGTTCCAAGGCTCACACAGACAGGCAGGCCTGCTTCTCCCTTTGTCAACAGCTGGACAATTAGGGAGGAGATCAGAGCCCAGCTGGAGCAAAGCTGCTTGGGGCCAGCCAGCCCTCACCTCCCTCAGCCCATGGAGAACTCGCTCCAAGAGCAGGGCCCGGCTGAAATAAGGCCTGCAGGACAAATCCAGCCCACCTTTTGCATGAAACATTTTAAAAACGGTGCTTATTTTTATTTCTTTGAAAGGCAGAGAAGAGAGAGAGAGAGAGAATAAGAGGAGTGCTTCTATCCATTGGTTTTCTCCTCAAATGCCCACAAGAGCTTGGGCTGACCAGGTGGAAGTCAGGAGCTCAGAACTCCATCCAGGTCTCCCACGTGGGTGGCAGGGACCCAAGCACTTGAGCCATCAGCTGCTGCCTCCAGGGGCCGCATTAGCAGGAAGCTGGAATAGGAAGCAGAGCCGGGCCTTGAACCCAAGCGTTGCAACGAGGCACACGGGGGTCCCAAGCAGAGCTGCTGAGCCAGATGCCCCCCTCTCTGCATGACCTTTGAGCCAAGAACAGCCTTTATGTTTTTAAAGACTGCTAGAACAAACATGTGGAAATAGAAACAAGTGCCACGCGGGAAGCATTTTCTATCTGCCCCTGTCTGAGACAGTTTGCTGCGCGCTGGCCTCGAGGTCTGCTCTGCCGATCTCATTTCTGAGCACATAGGTACAGGCTCACGCGTGGCTTGGCACTCACGCACACACCCAGGGCCGCTGTGTGCAGGGCTGGGTGCTTTGTGGGACTGTGTACATGCCTGGCTGAGAGGCGAGCGCGTCCCAGAGCCAGCCTGCACACGGATCACAGCGGAAGCCCGAGCAGGGGCCGCCTCAGCCCAGGAGGGGGACAGAGCTTGCACGCCGGGTGAGGGAGGGATTTCCCAGCCACGGTGCATCTTTCTGAAGGTGAATTTTGCCTCAAGGCTAGGGGGAAGCTTTGACTTTGACAACAAAACTGGACCGTTGCAATGACAGATGCTGGACAGGAAGGGAACAGGTGCTGAGCCTTCAACAGGGAAACTGTAAAAGGTGCTGCTGTGCACCCCCCACCCCCGACTCCCAGGCCAGCTGGGGAGCAAGTTCACCACCCTGGGCGGTGTGGAGTGCTGCCAGTAGAAACTTCCAGAAGCCTGGCACTTTACCAGGCTGGGACCAAACAGAACAATCGAGGAGCCAGCTGGCCTGAAAGAAGTCAAGTGAATTTTGTGCTTGAGGGCTGGAAGGGGTGAGAGAGCGCATGGCCTGAAGCAGCAGTTTAGAATGGTCTGGAATAACATGGAGCAGCAACAAGAACCGTGAGCTGATAAGAGCCTCCTGGCTGCCGTGCTGGGCTCTGTGTTTGGGTTTTGGGCCAGCGTGGCGAAGTACCTGCTTCCCAGAAGGCAGACTCTGTCAGCAGCTTGCCCGATGCCTTTGGCTCCCTCTGCTGCCCTGGACGGCTCCGGAGCGGCGGTCATGGGTGCGCCGGGAAGTGGCTGGGGATGGAAAACGCTTATTAAACAGGGGTCGGAGGCAGTACTCCCAGGCCAGAGTGACAGCACACACGTCCCCAGCCCTCAGTCCCCTCGTCGGGCCCAGGGCCAGGAATGCGAGGCTGATTAGATCCAGAAACTTCTCAAGAAATTCCAGCTTCCCATGATCCGAGAGGGCCTGGGAGACGGTCAGGCTCTGTGCCCTCTAAGACCATCTCTCTCTCTCTCTCTCTCTCTCTCTCTGCGAAACCTCTCGCTGCTATGACGGCATCCCTGTTCCATGAGCTCACGGGCAGCCAGACCCCACGGAGGGTCCCAGGAGCACCCCTGGCCCCTTCCATGTTCTGTCCTCCGAGCCTCCTGCCTCCCGTGGCCCCTGTCACCAATACTGGAAATGTGCCCGCTGCCTGTCTGCAGAGGATTTCACTCATTGGAAGCCCTGCGGGGGCAGGGCTCAGGTCGCCCAGCAACCCTAGGGGTCAGTCCTGGTGGGCAGTGTTGCAGGGTTGGTAACACTTTCAGAAGACGAGGAACTGACAGGCCAAGCAGGACCCAGGCAGAAAGCAAAGCACCAGGACGGTGCTGGGGTGCTGTCCCGCCCACCACCCCGTCCCCCTCTGGTGCGCGCGCCTGCCTCCTCTTCTCCCGTGCACAGGTCTTCTCTGTGCTCCTCGATTAACCAGGCGCATTCCCACCTCAAAGCTTCCTCCGTGTCCCTTACCCCTGAAACGCTGCTGCCCGCTGCTGCTGCCTTCTTAAGGCAGGGCTCCGCTCAAATGGGACTCACCTTCTTTTTTTATTATTATTATTTAAAGATTTATTTACTTGAAGGGCAGAGCGACAGAGAGAGAGGGAGAGACAGACAGACAGACATCTTCCATCTGCTGATTTACTCCCCAAATAGCCACAACAACCAGAGCTGGGCCCTTCTAAAGGCAAGCACCAGGAGCTCCCCATGGGTCTCCCACCTGGGTGGCAGGGACACAAGCACTTGGGCCAGCACCTGCTGCCTTCCAGGCACATTAGTCGGGGGCTGGACTGGAAGCGGAGTAACTAGGACACAACCGGCATCCCCGATATGGGATGTCAGTGTCCCAAGCAGGGGCTTAAGTTGCTGCACCATAATGGCTGCTCTGGGACACACCTGGGACCACCCCATCCCACCCCTCAGTAGCAGCCGGGACTGTGACTGGGGTCTGACACCGCCCTGCTTCTTTCTGGCTTCCTTTCCCACTGCCTGGAGGTTCCAGCAGGCCAGGGGTTCTTATCTGCCGCAGCCACCTCTGTATCGTGGCCAGAGACACAGACTTGTGCACAGGGTAAGACATGCACTGCTCGGCGCTTTGTTCATTCTCGTCCGTATCTGTCAGCTGGCCTCCTTGGCTGAGCCGTGTCTACCTGACCTCAAAAGACAGGCATGACCCCCTTTTTCATGATACTAAGGGCTGCTTCTGTGTTGCTTTTGCCAGCAATTAGCAACATAAGGAGGGAATGGAGTCAGCAGGCCTGCGCAACTTCTGGCTTGAACTTGCAACCTTGAGCAAGCCACTCCAGCCCCCGGCTTCCTAGCCATGAAACGGGCAGAACGACACCAGGGCTCAGTGCACTGGGTGGAGACCTGCACTGCATGGGGACCGTGCGAGGGAAGAGCTCAGGAGCCCACAGGGGACGTGGTGTCATTCTTGGCCTTCCACTGACCTCAAGGCTCTCCTCCTCCTCCTCCTCCTCCTCCTCCGTCAGCAGATGGGCCCAGGGTTTTGCTGGTGGTCCCTCAGCATCCTGGAAAGGTGCAGTCACACGATGTGAGGTGGCAGGAAAGCCATCCACTGCGTATTCAAGGGCACAGGGAGGGACAGGGACCATCCCAAGAGCTCCAGGGAAACAGACAACAGGTGTTTCCTGAATGTCCCCAGCAACCCCGAGAAGGCCTGGGGGACCATGGGTGGCACAGATGGGGATTAGGCTTGCAGGCAGGCTGACTTCAAACACACGGCCTGAGCAGGTCACCTGGCTTTTTCAGGTGCCGGTGGCCACATTTCCAAAACAGGCTGATGCCACCAGGCCTGCCCACTTTAGGGTTACCCTGGGCATCAAGTGAGCTGGGCTACTCCCAACAGGGGAGTCCTGGGCCATGCTTCTGAGAAAGGATGCCTACACCAAGGCATATCCAAGGCCCACCCCTCCCTGCCCCCAGCTCCCCAGTGCACTAGCCCTGCCCACCTCCTGGCAGCAGGTGCAAAGCCAAACAGCTGCAGGGCCAGGGGAGCTCCTGGAACAAGCGAGGAGAGCCAGGGGCAGGGCAACGGGGAGCAGTGAGGACTGCAGTGGCCTGAGGTCCTTCCGAGGCAGCCAGACTTGGCTGTCTACTCCACCTAGTCCCTGCTTTCAAGGGATTCAGGGTTTGCAAGGCAACTGGCCAGAGCTGGGGACATGTGAGCAGTCAGGAGGGGGCTTTCAGAGGTCAACAAGTGCTAAAAGGAGGGGGAAGGAATGGGAAGCCTGGCAGGTCCCTGAACGAGGAAGTACAGGTGAGTCTGGGGTCAGCGACACCCACCCTGCCTCTCCCTTCTCCCCACGGGCTCTTGCCACCCCCGCCCAGACCCCGCCTGCCCCCTGTGGAGCCAACGCCCTCCGTCCCCTCCCTGCGCCTGCTGGCACCTGCAGTGGGCTGGTGGGCTGCTCTGTCTTCCTGCCAAGGAGTGCCCTCCCCAGGGCCGCGTTCTCCACCTGGATGGCTCGCAGCACAGCCGAGGCGTCTTCCTGCCTGTCCTCAGCCTCACACACAGGCTTGCGGGTTGCAGAGAGCGGTCTCTCCCGCCGGCTTGCAGGTCCTGGGAGGGCAGAAAACAGGTGGGTGCTCTTTGAGATTGTGTCCTCGGGGTGCAGCTCAGCATCCATCAGACTCAAAAGGAGACACCTTCTACAAAACCACCAGCCTGTCCTCTCCCCCAAATGTCAAGGTTGTGAAAGGCAGAGAAAGCCGGGAGAACTGTTCTGGCTTAAAGGAGACCGGGTGGGCATGGCAAGGCAATGCTGGGCGAGCCCTGGGACCGGGTTCTGGGTGGGAAAACCAAATTGCAGCAAACTAACAGTGGCCTGCATACCCCCAGGAGAGGGGCTCCAGGGCCCACGATGCGCAAATCCCTTATGTAAAATGGCACAGTATTTGCATATAACCCATGCCCATTCTCTTGTATGCTTCACATCATTTCCTAGTGGTTTGTAAGTCAGTGTTCCAGTCACTTCAGTAGCAGCGAGGGGTGGGATCAGGGGAGGGGCAGGCAGGGTCTCTCAGATAAGAGGGACGGCTGCAGACCCCTGATCTGGTGTGAGGCTTGCTGAGCCCCTGGTCAAACCACATGTGGCTGATTGTTAGGGTTTCCGGTTCATGCGCTTGACACTCCCACCACACCTGTTAGGGCGTCGCGTTGGGATGGCAGTTCAAGCAGCAAGATCAAGGGCAGGAGCTGGGCATGGGGGTAAGGATGTGCGGCAATGGCTGCCGCCTAGGGGAGGCCTGGGTGGAGTTCAGCTACTCCGCTTCAGATCCACCTTCCTGCTAATGCGCTCGGGAAAGCAGCCCCTGCCACCCACATGGGAGACCCGGATGGAGTTCCTGGCTCCCGGCTTTGGCCTGTTGCTGTGCCATTTGGGAAGCAGACCAGCGGATGCTAGCTATCTTTCTTTCTCTGTCTCCCTAATAAGTCAAGCGCCCCATCTGCGCTCCCACCCGGCTCTCCTGCTCTCCCGGGTCCCACTGCTCCCGAGCTGTCCCTCCCGCCATGCCACACACCCTCTGTTTAACTCTCAGTGACACTCTCATCCCTCACTTGGGCGAACATTGACCTGAACGCCACGGGACGGCGGATTCATTCTCATTGTAGACCTAGAGAATGTGGTTCATTCACATGGTAGACTTGTACCACCAGCAAAAGCCAAACTGCCTGTTTTAATTTATCCCAAACTGCCCTTGTTTGCTCGAGAGCCATCCCTCTTCCCGCAACTCCACTTCGCGCTTCGCCAGTGCCCACCCGCCCTTCTCTTGAGCAGAGAAACCAGACGCAGATCGGTTCCGGAGCTTTACCGCGAAGGCAGCACGTGTCGTATGCCCCGAAGCTGCAAGCCTGCCCCCGCCGGCTCGCTGCCAGCCAGGAAGCTCACACTCAGAGTCTGGGCAGAGGGGCTTTGGAGGTCCCCTGGGGACCCACCTAGGTGAGAAATATTAACTCCGAGGACATTAAGTGTCCATCACTGTGGTCACGAAGCTGAAGCTTGCCTGTAGATGCGATGCTATGTAACTTCTTCCTTTTTAAATTGGAAACAGATGCCAAGTTTTAAAAGCAATGTTTCAGGGAGGGGATTCCTGGCATCTCTTGAGCAGTCATACAACCTAGCAACCCTGGGACCCATGACCACATAGGGTGAGCTGGGTGGTGGCGCTCCTCCCCCCGTAGGTGGGGCAGGAACATGTCAGTTCCCACCACGCACCCTCTACCTGCTATTGTGCCTGATGCAAATGATGCCATCCACCACACTGGATGGCAACAGGTCCACGCAAATGGCTGACTTGACATCGTTTGGCCTTGAGATGTCCACACCAACCCTTGGAATCCAAACGTACCCCTGAGATGATGACCTGTGCCTGAGTGCCCCCCACCTCCACGTGGCTGTCACCTGACCACCTGCTTCCCCGCTGTGGGAGACTGGGCCAGGCGACCACAGGTGCCCCCAGCCCTGTTCACGGCCACACGGCAGTGTGACCAGGCAGCAATTCCAGAAGGTGATGAGATGGAGTCTGTTCTTCCGGCTGGGCTTGGCCCAGCAATGTCCTTTGCTGACAGGTGTCAGTGATGGTGACCAGGCAGTCTAGAAAAAGCGTGCACACGGTGGGGCTTGGGCCTCTCCTGCTGCCTGGAGACCACCAGTGCTGGAGGACAGGACCACATGGGTCATCCTAGCTGAGGTCGCCAGGCCAGAGCAGTCTGCCGGACACATGCTAGAGACTGCCTGTGACCAGCTAGCCAGCCACCAGCCGGCTCATTGCGCAGCTGAAGCCTTCCATGGACTGTTAGGCGGCACTGGCTGGCTGACACACCTGGCTTCTTAAAGCCTCGTCGTCTTCTCCTCGCTAAAGCCCATTCTGGGGCCTCCCCACGGCAGGTGCTGTCTGCAGTCATGGGGCCCATCTGCCGCTGCCATGTGCTTTTCACGTACGCGATGCTCGTGGCCAGCCAGCGAGTGAGGCCCCTTCCTCTCCGAAGTTCCAGTCCTCTGCTCCACACCCCGCTCTGGAGAATCTGCAGCGGGGGATCCCGGCGGGGGCAGAGGTGACTTTTATATGAAGCCAGCAGCGCTTGCTTTCCTGGCACCGTGAACTTCACAGCACCCTCGGTTTTCCGTCAGGAAACCACCCTTTCCCTGGTGCGTTCAGCCATTTGGGGAAATTTGACCCTGCTGCTGAGTGGCCCGGCGTGGAGCGGGTTTGGGCGATCTGACCCCACTCCTGGCCCAGGACTACTTGTTCCTGATTACAGAGCCTGGAGACTGGCTCAGGGGAAAGCTGGTTCTTGGACATTAGGAAGGCAGTGATCTCTTTCCCACATGGTGGCAAAGCAGGTGAAAATAGAGTCTTGAACCTTGTGGGGGGTGGCAGGGCGTGTCGGGAGCACAGCTGGAATGCCTGCCTGGCAGTGACCAGGAACCGAGGTTCCCAAAGTACAGTCCCTGGACCACCAACAACACTGGCATCACCAGGGAACCTGTTAGGAATTAGGCTCCACCCTGCCATGCTCTGGCACTGGGCCCACCCATCTGTGGTTTCATTGGCTTGGTAAGTAATTCTGATGCGCGCTGGAGTTTGAGGACCACTGGGCCGGAGGAAAACGGAGCAAAGTATCCCCCGGTGACAGCATCCAGGCACCTGGATCCCCCCACGCCTGGGGCCACAGTGGCCGGCCTGTGAGCAATAGTACATTTTCCTCTGTTGCTTAACCCGGCCTTGAATTTCCATCACTTGCTACTAGCGAACGCTCAGGCGTTACGAGTCTCTGGGCTTAGGCAGAATGAGCAGGTTTTCCTGGCAGGAACGCTAACTGCAGGGCTGTCAGGTTCGCTAATTCACTCCCACTGAGGGGTGTTACTTTATTTCCAGGGTTGGCAGCTTGTCTGGGAAAAGTGGTTCAGATACATCACCTCGCCAGGGCGCGCTGACAACCTGGACAGTAAACTTTCTGCATTAAAGACAGATGTGCTCTCACCCTCGAGGAGACAGCAGGCCTGCAGAAGGAGATTATCCTGGCTTCTCGGGAGGCTTACGGGTAGGCTGCGGGGTGCCCCAGGCCACGGGGCCCTTTAATTGGAAGTAGGGGCAATGACAGTGAGACAGAGGGGCGAGGCCTGTCGCGGAGTTACATCATGTGCACATGTACCTGCCACAAATTCAGGCGTATGAGCTTGGCAGAAGGCAAAGGGGTAAGGCGAGAAATGAGTCCTTAGAGAGTTACCCTCTGGAATCGTAGACGAGCTCGTTCCCTGGAGCACAGCTGGGGCATCTGGACCGAATATTTTAACAGTCAGTTTGAAGGAAGAAATCCCAGACCTGCGTTGTGGCACAGCACAGTAAACCACTACCTGTGATGCTGGCATCCTATATCAGAGTGCCAGTTCCAGTCCTGCCTGCTCAACTTCCGAACCAGCTCCCTGCTAAGGTGCCTGGGAAGGCAGCAGTGCTTCGGCACCTGACACCCAAGTGGGAGACCCAGATGGAGTTCCGGGCCCAGCTGTCGAAGGCATTTGGGGAGTGAACTAGTGGATGGAAGATCTCTCTCCCTCCCTCTCTCTCTCTTGTGCATGCTGTCTCTCTCTCTCTCTGCCCACTGAATCAATCAATTGGTACTTTTCTCTCTCTCTCTTTTTTTTTTTTAAAAGAAATCTGTGTGAAGCCCTGGAGAGTGGACAGGGCAGTGAAGAATGACAGGGCCAAGGCAGGCAGGAGAACGCAAGCCAGGGAGGTGAACTGACATCTGTAAGGCCTTCCCCTCTAAGGTGCTGCTAATCCCTACAGCAGCTACACAAGGCTGGGAAGCTGAGCAGGGCTCGCAACAGATGCAGGGGCCACAGTTCGAGGGGCAGGGTGGAGCAGCCAGGGGCAAAGGGGGTAGAAGGGATAACACTGTGGGTGAACCCGAATTACTATTGACTGTATGGAATAATTAGAAGAAGTGCACCTAGTGGGGTTAAAACCAGAGGAGAATGAGAATGTGTGGCAATAGCATTTCAGTCGGTAGGGCAGTAAACAGCCGTCAGGTCCTTCCACTGAAAGGGAAACGGTAAACTGGCTCATTTAAAGCAGACTCGAAGAAGTCAGAAATGCATGCTGTAATCTCTGGTAATGGCTAAAAGAATAATAAAAGAACGCATAACTAACAAGCTAACACAGAGGAAGAAAGAATGATGCAGAGCAATCAGTTCAAAAGAAGGCAAGAAAGGAGAAAAGGGGAACATAAAACAGGTAGAACAAATAAAAAGCAAATAACGAGAAAGTAGATTTAAACACAAATATATCAGCAGTTACAGTAAATGTAAATGGACTAAATGTTCCCATTAAAACACACAGATTGTTAAAGGAGAAAAATAAAAACCAATTACATGCTGCTTACTAGAGACAAACCTGAATGTAAAGATGCAGAAGGTTTGAATGCAAAGCATAAAATAAAAGATAAGCACACGAACACTAACCAAAATGAAGTTGGATAGCTCCGGGTCAGACAGGCTCTGAGGCGGACAGCGTCGCTAAGGAGAAAGAGAGGCAGCCCACAATGACAAAAAGTTCTATTCATAGCAAGAAGTCAGAAGTCTAATTTTTTAAAAAAATATTTATCTATGTGAAAGGCAGAGTTATAGAGAGACAAAGGAACAGAAAGAAATCTTCCATACACTGGCTCGCTGCCTAAATGGCCACAATGGCTGGGACTGGGCCGGGGTAAAGCCGGAAGCCAGGAACTTCCACTGGTTCCTGTTAATACAGGGAGCTGAACTGTAAGTGGAGCAGCCGAGACTCCAACTGGCACTGGTGTGGGATGCTGGCATTGGCCACAACACTGGCCCCCAGGAGTCTAATTTAGTAGACTCATTTTGGACCCATCTCCCTCCATACAAAGTAAACCATGGGAGCAGTCCAGCCTGCAGATGCTGCATGGAGGAGGTGAGCCGGGTTCGAATTCCACTGTCCTCTCACGTAGTCTTAGGTTCCTGGTGTCTCTAGGGGTATAAATAGCACAGAGCCCTCAAAACGCTGCTGGTGCTTCATCTCTACCACCTAGACCCTAACCAAAGCCGACTGCTTCACAGGGGCTCACCAAGAGGCTGTGGTTTCTGCCCCCATGGCCTCTCCTGGGCTTCCTGAGAGCTGACCTTGTAGCAGCAAGGTGGGGGATTTCCAAGGCAGGCTTTGGCCCCTGCACATTCTGCTGCCTTTCTCATGGTATCTGGGTGAGCTGTGGCGCCATCGTAGTGCCATGTCAGTGGGAGGGCAGTGATGACACCAGGGTTGTCAACTTGCCTTATAGTGACACAACCCTTCTAGGAGCTAGCCTTGAGACACGGGGAATTAAGCTGCCACCTTTTATCCCATCATCCCATATGGCCACAGGTTCAAGTCCCAGCTGCTCCACTTCTGATCCAGCTCCCTGCTAATGCGTCTGGGAAAGCAGCAAAAAATGGCTCAAGTGCTTGGGTCCCTGCACTCACATGGTGGCTCCGATGGTGTTCCTTGTTTCTGGCTTCAATCTGACCCAGCCCCAGCAGAGAGAAGGCTTCTCTCTCTCTCTCCCTCTCTCTCTCTGTAAAACAGCCTTTCAAATAAATAAATAATCTTTTTTTTTAAAAAAAAGGACTATTTCTTCTAATTTAGCATATATGGGAGTCACCTATACTTAACAGAGAGGGTAAGCACCAAACCTGTTCAAAATGAAGATTTCACTGCCTTAAACAGTATCCTTGCTAAAAATACTGATGGGAAAACTCACTCTAAGAACCAAATGCCAGAAATAGCGGATAATTTGATTTTCATCTGATGGATAGAGGGACTCCTGCCCTCCCCCACCTCCCTTTAATGTGATGCATGCTTGTCTGACATGGAGACCAGGAAACTCAGTCCAGCTGTGGCTACCTTAAGTTAGCACTCATGTTTCGTCATCCTGGCTTTGAATCGTAACCTTGTTGATCTTTACTTTAGTTCCTCACATATTTTTATTTTATATATATATATATATAATTTTCTTAAATATTTTCAAGTTATTTATTTATTGGAAAGGCAGAGTTACAGAGAGAGAGGGAGAAACAAAGAGTGAGAGACCTTCCCTCCACTGACTCATTCCCTAGTTGGCCAGGGTTGGGCCGGGTCAAAGCCAGGAGCCAAAAACTCCATCCTTCTCTCCTGTGTGGATGGCAGAGGCCCAAGCACCACTGCTTCCCAGGAGCATTAGTAGGGAGTTGGATTGGAAGTAGAGCAGCTAGGACTTGAACTGGTGCTCTGAGATGGGATGCCAACATAGCAGGTAACAGCTTAGTTTGCTGAGCCACAGTGGCTGCCCTCCTCACATAATGTCTGAAGTCTTGCACTGTACACTATCTGTAATTTGTTAGACCATGTCAGAACTTTGTGGAGAAAGGCAGATTGTACATTAACAATTTACAATCAAGCTTGGTTTCTCTAAGTGCTATACATGAAGGTGTGTGGTGTGGGTTGAATTGTTCCCCTAAGAAGATGTTGAGGTCCTGACCCTAGTACCCGTGAACGTGATCTTATTAGAAACAAGGTTTCACAGACAACCAAGTCACGATGAGGTCATTAGGGTCAGTCTTGACCCAGCACAGTGGGAATCTTTATGAAAAGGCACATTTGGACGTGGAGGTGGACACACACATGGGCTAGATGCCAGGAGTTATGTGCTATGCAACAAGGAACTACAGTAAGTGAGGAGAGACACGTGAAACAGATCCTTCCCTTGTACCTTCATAGGGAGGCCCTGCCAACCCCTCTGTCTTGGACTTCCAGCCTAGTAAACTTCTGGTCTTTAAGCCCCTAGGAGTGTGACACTGTCCCTTGTGACGACAGACCTGAGAAATTAATCCAGCGTGCAAGGTGACTGCAGTTGCCACGTGGTCTAATAGAGTGGCGTGTCAAAGAGCGGAGGACTGAGGGCCTCCCCACTTCCTGGCCGCGGGACCACGGGCACATCCCACAGCCTCTCTGTGCCTCAGTCTCTGCTGTACAATGATGTTGACCACAGCAGTATCCATCGGGCTGCTCAAACTCGGACAGTCAAGTGCAGGACAGCAGAGGCGGTGCCAAACACACAGCCTGGAGGTAGCCCAGTGCTGCTGGCTCGCACTTTTATTATTTGGATATGGAAGAGACTGTGATGGTGGCCCAGGCCTGCAGAGACGGCTGTCCCGGCTGGCACAGCAGCATGCTGGGAAGGAAGGTAGTCCCCTCTGTGCTGCCCCCACCTTTCTGGGGGCTCCGGGAGGACTCACGCACAGCACCATGTGACCCTGGGTTTCGTGTTTTTAACAACAGGCTTTGGGGGAGCTTCCAAAGAGCCACACAGGGTGCAGACAGTGGCAGCAGCACAGACAGGAGCCTGTCACCTGGAGCAGCAGGCTAGCACGAACCATGGTGACGCAGCACTGGACCAGGGGGAGCCTGGATATTTGGTCAAGCTTAGCTGTGGGTGTGATGAGATCCTGAGATGAGACTGACATTTGAATCAGCCAATAGAACCAGAAGGCCCACCCTGCCCCGGGGCAGGAAAGAATTCTCCAACAGGTGGCAATCAGATGTCCTTCGGTCACAGGTTCCTCCTGCCTGATGCTCTGGCTTGGAACATGGCTCCTCCTGGGAGTCCTGCCCGCTGACCCACCCTGAGCCTGGCTACACCAGCCTGCACAGCTGTGGGAGCCCATTCCCGATCAGAATCCTGGGCTCTCTCTCTCTCTCTCTGTGTATATGTGTATCCTTTAGGTTCGGCTGCTCTGGAGAACCCTGGCTAACACAGCTCGGCCTCAGCGAGGACAGTAATGAAGCCATGCCCCCCACCCTGCCCTCAGCACCTCGCTGAGCGGACCAGCCCTGCCCCCTGCCCAGGGTCCCCGATCTCTTACTGGAGCACATCCTGTCCTGGTCTGTGCCTGTGGCGGGGGGCTGGGGGTTCAGGCTGGGCTCAGGCTTGCTGGGAACGAAGACCTCAGCGTTGTCCTTCCGCTTGGCAGACAAATTCCTTTCCCTTTTGTGACCTGCAGGAAGGCAACTGCTTCAGACTCGCGGCAGATGTGAGCACAGGCAGAGTGGGGACCTTCTGCAAGGGCCTCTGTTCATTGCTCATTCACGAACTTGTTCACCAAATATTTACTGAACAGCTACCTTGCTCGTTCAGGATTAGCGAGGTGAATAATGCAGGCGACAAAACAAGTGTGCTGAGAGTCCGGCACCACGGTGTGGGAAGGAAAGGAACAGCCCGGGGCGCAGCCAGCTTTTCAGATTTTCACACTTCTGAGCAGGGCCAATCCTACAGTCCACGGGGTTCATGGCTGGCGTGGCACCTGCAGTGATGGTGCAAGCAAGGATGTAGTGGAGTTCAAAGACTCAGTACAAGGGCACTGCTGCCCTGCAGGAGCTCACAGCATGGCTGAGAAACAGCACGGCTGAAGGCATGAGAGACCACGGCGCCGACAGAAGAAAGGGCAGGTGTCGGGGTCGTGGACGAGCATGTGGCCGGGAGGGTGTGACTGGCAGGTGTGTGGGGAGGCCGCAGTGGAGAGAGACTCTGGGGGAGGGGGGTGGGCATTACCAGCAGCACCAGGGCAGGAGCACCCAGACAGGGGAGGAGCCTATGGGGTGCTGGGGCGGACAGGGCAGAGTTGGCGAGCAGGCCACAGAGGCTGGCCCTACCCCAGCTCAGCATTTCCGGTGGAGGAGACTGGAGCCACTGATGGGCCAGGGGATGACTCTAGATGCGAGGCGGGCAGATTTTGGATGCAGTTTTCCATCTTCATCTGTATGGCTACAGGATCAGCTAACTAGCGTGTCAAAGCCTCGGTGCTGGAAACCACCCTAGAATAAAGATGCGGGTGGGCGTTGTGGTGCAGCGGGTTAAGCTGCTGCTGACAGCTCCAGTGTCCCATATCCAAGTGCCAGCAGGAGTCCTGGCTGCTTTACTTCCAATCCAGCTCCCTGCTAATGTGCCCGGGAACGCAGTGGAGGAGGTTGAGTACTCGGGTCCCTGCCAGCCACGTGGGAGACCCAGGTGGAGCCCCTGTCTCCTGGCATTGGCCTGGCCCAGCCTCACCTGTTGTAGCCTTCTGGGGAGTGACCCAGCGGATGGAAGATCTCTTGCTCTCTCTGTCCCTCCCTCTCTCTCTCTGTCACTCTGCCTTTCAAATAAATAAACAGATCTTTGAAAATCAATGACTAGGGGCCGGTGCTGTGGTGTAGCAGGTAAAGCTGCTGCCTGCGGTGCTGGCATCCCAAAGCAAAAAGAAGAAGGAGTTGTCTTCTCTGGAGACGAACACCATGGGGTGGGGAATTTCCGGGGCTGGCTGCTAGGGCTGCACTGGTCTCTCTTCCCCCAGCCCTCAGCCACCTGAATGTGACTGTATTTGGACACAGGGTCTTTAGAGACGCGATGACGTTAAAATGAGGTTATGTGGGACCAAATCCAATCTGACTGGTGTCCTCAGGAGAAGAAGTGGCGCTGAGGACACAGAGAGCCGTGGAAAGCAGACCGTATGTGGACACAGGAAGCTAAGGGGCAGGGCCTAGGGAGAAACCAGCCCCGGACATCCAGCCTCCAGAGCTGTGAGACAGAAGCTACGGCCACCCCAGAAGGCCAACAGAGAGCCTGGCTTTAGATCTGCCCTCCTGTCTCTCTCCGCAGGCACGGCCAGCCTGGAAGGACACACTTGGAGTGGGCAGAAGGAGCAGCAGAGATCAGGCCTGCTGGGTCCCAGCTTGGGGACAGGAGCAAGCACCGTCTGAAGCTGCCTCTTTCTGCCTCCTGGGTCCTCTTCCTCCCTGACCCCACCTACTGTGTTGCTCCTCCTTCGCAGGGTCTTCCTTGAATAGCCCCCTGCCTCCTTCCTCAGAGTCACCCTGGTGGCACCAGTGGTCCATGTAGTTGGGTGGGGGGCGTGCTGCTGCCGGGATCTGGCCCATCGGGGATACACACAGCGACGGGATCAGGGAGAGCTCGTGACCGGGGCGGGTTGCAGAGCCAGGCCTAGTTTTGTGCTGGAGCTTTTAGGAGAGACAAGTCCACGTTTGGATGGGGCTGCGGAGCCAATGTCTCATTGAAGGCAGTCGTGCCTCTGTATGGTGGAAAGCCTGCCTGGGAAGTGGGAGCAGCACAGAGGGATGCAGAGATGAGAGGGAGAAAAGCAAGGAGGGAGAAGGAAGGGGAAGAGAAGAGGAACGAGCCCTACTATCATCTGAGCCAGCAACAGTCCCCTTGGTGTAACTTCCTGGCGTGAACCAACTGGAAGGGAGACACGGCCACACTCCCTCCAAGGCTTGGGATGGCGCCCACGAGTACTCGCCAGACATTTGCCACCTGGAGTTTCAGGCGCCTCGGGAAGCATCCGGGAGTCTTCCTTCTGTAGTCAACAAGGACCTGATGGACAACACCACCCTGGAAGCGCAACTCAAAACAACATTGCAAGCCGAAGCCCTCCTGCTAGAACCAGCGACGCCACAGGCAAAGAAATGCCATGGAAGACAGAACTCACTTTGGGAAGCGGGGTTAAATTCCAGCACGACGAGGGTGTCCAGGCCCTGCGGGGGACGTCCACCTGCCTCCCGGTCCTCAGGAGCATCCTTGTCCCCAGTGGACAGAGGGCAGTCACCTCCAGGACAGCCCTCGGGCTCGGGCTCGGGCTCAGAGGCGACATCTTCTTCGATAGAGTCGTAGTCATCGCTGGGACAATCCCCCTGTCTCCTCTGTGCGTTTGCACTGAGTTCCGGGCTTCTTGGCTCCTGCCAAAAGCCAGGAAGAGAGATGCACGGTGAGATAGGGCACTTGGCAGGCCGTTCTTTTGAAAGTCATTTGAACCAAAGATCTGTTTCCAGCACACTCACCTTCCACAAGGTCAAAACCAAAAGCAGAGGAAAGCCAGCGACTCTCTGGCCAGAGCAGTGTTCACAGTACCAATGGTGGTGTTTGGATACCTGAGATGCTGTGTGTGTGTGTGTGTGCGTGTGTGCGTGTGTGCGTGTGTGTGTGAGAGAGAGAGAGAGATGCCCCTGGGGCTTGGTAAAACAGACTGTCGGGGAGGGCTTTTGCGTTTGGTACTCAGCTTATATAATCGCTTGAGACACCTCCATCCCCTATTGGAGTGCCTGGTTCGAGTCTCGGCTCCTCTGCTTCTGCTCCAGCTTCCTGGTACTGCACACCCTGGGAGGCAACAGGTGATGGCTCAAGTACTTGGATCCCTGCTGCCCACGCAGGAGACCCAGATGGCGTTCCAAGCTCCCGGATTTGGCCTGGCCCAGCCACAGGTGTGGTGAGTATCTGGGGGAGTGAACCAGTAGATGGAAGACCTCGCTGTGTCTCTCTTTCAAATAATAGTGAAAAATAACTAGATAAATACATACTTAGAAACACAAACATACATACAAACATAAACTCATACAAAACAGATTGTGGAGACCTATCCTCAGATTCTCTAACTCAGTAGGGCCTGAGAATTTACATTTCTAAGAAGCCAATGATGCTCACGCTGCTGGTCCCAGAAGCCAGCTCTGCAAATGAAATCCCAAAGGCCTCCAAACGACCCTGAAAGTGCAGCTGGTGAGATGCCGGCAGGGAGCTGCTGGGGGCTGTCCTGCCTCTAGCAGGGTGCAGCACAGCATCTGAATGTGAAATGTCAGAACATTTCCCACTTGACTGTAACTGCCTGGGGATTTTTTTTTTTTTTAACGATGCTTTTGTCTCCTTGGGATTATAGGCCAAGTGTTAAGATTTTTACTTTAGAACTTAACTATTAACTGCTGGATAAAACAAATGTTTGTTTCTTTTTTCTTCCTGAGACTGTAGGTCAGGCATTAAGAGCTATACTTAGAGAGAGACCAGAAAAATGTAGCAACCAAACCAGGGCATTTCTCTGAAAGGGGAAAAAAAGGCTTGGTTAAATTTGTGATGAGATGAAAAAGGATAAATTGAACAGTCAGGGAGAGCCAGTATGTGGAGTCACCCTAGCTCTACTAGCCCTATAGCCCTTGTCGTATCTATCATACTTCCGGAGAAATGAGAAGCAATCGGTGAAGGCTTGATGATTGACCAATAAACCTTTGTATTTATGGTAGGCTGAATAATGGCTCCTCAAAGATACTTAGATTCCAATCTCTAGAACTTGTCAGTCAGAGAAGGCTTAGGAGGAAGTGAACTCCATATAGAAAACCTGAAATATGTCAGGGAAATCATCCTAAAATGACTGCTTGATAGAAATACAGACATTGGGGCCGGCACTGTGGTGTAGTGGGTAAAGCCGCTGCCTGCAGTGCCAGCATCCCATATGGGCGCCGGTTTGAGTCCCGGCTGCTCCACTTCTGATCCAGCTCTCTGCTATGGCCTGGAAAGCAGTAGAAGATGGCCCAAGTGCTTGGACCCCTACACTCATGTAGGTGACCCAGATGAAGCTCCTGGCTCCTGGCTTCAGCTCTGCCCATCCCTGGCTGTTGCGGCCATCTGGGGAGTGAACCAGTGGATAGGAGACCTCCCTCTCTCTCTCCTCCACCCCTCTCTCTGCCTCTGCTTCTCTGTAACTCTACCTTTCAAACTAATTAGTTAACTAATTGAAATACAGACATCAAAGGTGCCGCTGTTGAGGGCTCAGGTCCAGGGAACTGGAAACTGGGGGAGAGGGAACCTGCTAGGCAGAAGCAAAGCCCTCACGGAACTGTGCCTGCAGTTACAGGCTAAGCAGACTGGTAAGTGATGAGCCTGGAAATTTACTCAGCAGGTTTCCACGGAAGGTGTTGAAGTTGCTTCTACCAGCTGAGAGTAGGAGGCAAGAGCAGACAGACTGGAGGAAGAACTGTTAAGGGAAGAAGAACTAGGATTTGATGATTTGGGCGACTCTCAGCTGGTCCAGGCTGCAAAAAGATGTGATGATTAGGAGCTTTGCTGTCAGAAAGTGTGCTCTGGACAGAAAATCAAGTGGGTGGCTGGACTACCTGTGGCTAGAATCCCAGGAGGGACCAAAGTTCAGAGTATCCAAGTGCACAGAGGGCTCTTTGTCCAAGAGATAGACAGGGGCCCACCGATCCCCTTAGACATCTAAGCAGATGCAAGGAACAGAGGCTGGGTCAGTCACAAGTGATCCAGGGCGGAGTCTCTCGTATAAGAGTGTGAACCTGAGGGCCAAATACAGGAGTCACACAGGGCCACTGAGAACGCTGGTTTGGACTGAACCGGGAGAAAGAAAAGATGGAATTAAAGAGGCTGGTCAGACTAGAAGCTTAAAAAAAATGGATTTTATCCCAGAGCCTCAAAAAGGAACACAGAGATGTCAACACCTGATTTTAGATTAGCAAAATCCACTTAAGTTCACGGTCATAGTAAGTGTTTTTGTAGCAGCAGGAAGAACTAATACACCTGTTTACCTTTTACAGTTCTCTCCCTCCCACCCCCCAGAGCAAGTAGCAGTGAGCAGCTAAGACACCGATGGCACATAACAGGTGCTTAGTAGATATATGCTGAAAGACCGAGCAACTGTCAGCGACCGAGTGGTGGCTGCAAGCGCGGGTGAAATGCACCCACACGCCCTGGAGGCGGCATCAGTGCAGTGACTCTTGCAAAGTGACTTTATGTCTCTGAGATGCATTTGGATGTGCATAAAAATGGGTAATTGAATCTCTGCCTCACAGGATTGTCTTATTAATGGGGTATGCATTTGGCACAGCAGTTAAGATGCTGTTTGGGGCACCTGCAACACATACCACAGTCCTTGGGTTTGAATCTCGGCTCCACATCCGACTCCAGCTTCCTGCTAATGTGTCCCTTGGGGGCAGCAGATGATGGTTCTAATACTTGGGAGACCTGTATGGAGTTCTGGGTTCCTGGCTTCAGCCTGGCCCAGTCCTGGCTGTTGAGGGCATTTGGGGAGTGAACCAGCAAGTGGAAAATCTTTGTCTCTCTCTTTGCCTTTCAAATACATAAAAGCAAATTAAAAAAAAAAAAAGTTGTTTTTAAAGTTTTATTAAGGCAGTGGCTTGAACCAGAGACGATTTCAGCTCTCCCTGGAGGAGACAGCAATGACTGAAAACCTTTTGGGTGGCAACTGCCGTGGGCAGTGCTCTCAGTACCTAGCAAGTGAAGCCAGGGACGCCATTAGGCATCCTGGAATGCACGGAGCAGCTTCACACAACAAAGGGGAATCTGCTCCAAACATCAACCGCGCCGAGGCCGAGCCGCCCACGATGACAAGGAGCACATACCCAGCATTTGATACTTACAAGGTAACACAAGGGATGGACAGTTGGCACAGTGGTTAAGAAGTTGCTTGGGACACCGCATCCCATACTGCAGTGCCTGGTACAAGTCCTGGCTCTCGTTCCAACTCCAGCTTCCTGTTTATGTGCACTCTGGCAAGCAGCAGGTAACAGATCAAGTATGTGGGTCCCTGCCACCCACGAGAGAGACCCAGATTGAGTTCCGGGCTCCTGGCTTCAGCCTGGTCTAGCCTAGCCCTGGCTGTTGTGTGCATTTGAGGAGTGAACCATTAGATGGAAGATTTCTCTCTCTCTCTCTCTCTGTCACTTTGCCTTTCAAATAAAACCACATGCAGTCATTTGAACTCTGATGCCTACGTGAGCAGCTGCTGGATTAAGGGTGGACACCTGACAGGGTGGGACGTGTTTAGGTCACTTGGGGATGTGCCCTTGGAGGGTGCTTCTCACAAGAGCTTGATGACCAGAGTTCAAGTCTGGACGAGGTTCTCGTCCTGTCTTTGCTGGTTCACCACATGATCACGCCCCCACACTGGCCGAATGACCAGCCTCCATGGGTGCTGGACTCTGGGGCTTCCCGATCTTTCCTGAACTGCTGCCTCCAGCCCGTAAGCTGAAACACACCTTTTGTTTCCCAAGAAGCTCCTCTCGGCTACTTTAATGAAAGCCATGAGGAGAAGAGGTGTTCCGGCTGCAGGAGATGGCCCGAGAAACCTTCAAGGGAACCAGACTCGGGTCATGGCTCACACCTTCCAAGTCCAACTGTGGTGGGTAGGTGCAGGGAGGGGTCCACATGCTGACTGTTCCTCCCCAGGGAAAGCCGAGCTCAACCTCAATTTCAGTGATTACAGACCTAGCAGTCCTGTAGAGGAGACCACAGCTTGGTCCTCCATAAACACATGACCGGTGCCTGTCTCATCCTTGCAATAAGCCCAACAGACCAGGGGAAAAATCCCTGCCACAACTTGAGTTCTGGTGAGACAGGACAACCCTGTGGCTCCTGTTCTTAGCCCAGCCCCGTTCTCAAACAGAACTGCAGTTCTGCTGGGCTGTGGGGGCGGGGCAGAGAGCCTGTGTGAAGAAGCCGCAGAGGGCCAGTCCCTGTCTCTGCATCTCCATACTCTTCTCTGAGTCACTGTGGGTGGGGGAATATCAGAAGACAAGTGCCAGCCTGCAGGGGGCTTCCAGCCTCAGCATAGGAAACCCCAGGTGCTCCCAGAGCCCAGAACAGTCCCCGCTGATGTCTAAGACCTGACCTTCTCATTACCTTCACAATGTTGCAACCCCACATTTCAGCGACTGAATTTTTTGGGGTCCCCAAAACTTGAGGAACAGAGGCTATGAGCCTTTAAGCTGGTCCAGCTTCTCACAGTGAGTAAGTGGCAGAGCCCTGATGCCTGAGGCCCTCGCTGCATACTGTCACGGCTCCACCAATGGCAACACCACATGGCGGCCACCCCTTGTGACATGTACTCATATACACACGTGTGCTAAGGGCTGAGGTAACAGTGTGGGGGGCGGGATGG